ATAATTCCATCTCTCAAGTATACACAGCTCTGCACAACTGTTAAAAATTGGAAATTGTTGGTCTTCCTGTATATATCTCCTTGCATAAATTACTGAGCTCCAACTCAGTAGTAAGCAGTTTTTAAGCAGTAAATCATGTCCTAATCACCTATCTTACAATTATGCTTCATCGTGCCCGACGCGACAGTGTAACGATTAAGGTCTTCACCTTGAATGCACCGGCATCCCATATGGGCGCCAGTTCTAATCCCGGCAGCTCCACTTCCCATTCAGCTCCCTGACTGTGGCCTGGGAAAACAGTCAAGGATGGCCCAAAGCCTTGGGATCCTGAACCCACGTGGAAGACCCAGAAAGAACTTCCTGGCTCCTGGCTTCAGATTGGCACAGCACTGGCCGTTGCAGCCACTTGGGGAGTGAATCATCTGATGGAAGATCTTCCTCCTTTGTCTCTCCTCCTCTCTATATATGTCCCTTTCCAATAAAATGAATAAATATTTTTTAAAAAAGAAACAATTATGCTTAGTCCCTTTTATTTCATTCTAGATTTGTGTGTGTGTATGTGTGTGTGTGTGTGTGTGTTTTCTCAAAATCCAGCAGCTAACAGTTGAATATTTGACATTTCTCCTTTTTTCCATTTTAGCTTTAATCTAATGTCAACACACCTCTAGAATAGCAATACAGTGTGATCCTGAGCAGAAGCCAGAGGCTCCTTTACCTCCCTAAATATGAGCTAATCGCCTATCCTCTGCAATAATGTTTTAGCTTTTGGTACACAAAGACTCCTTCTACTAGCAAAGCTTGTTTACTTGATAATGTATATCTGACAAATCAAGCTGAATTCTCCTTTCTCCTAGAGTGGATGAAGTAACAAAGAGAGCTTTTTTCCCCCTATAACAATAAGAGGTTTTCCTCATATACTTTTAATGTTGTCCTAATATCCTGTGACTTCAAATAATTCTGAGAATTAAGTCATAATGAATCTCCCCCATCATAAATATCCTACTTCAGTTAATCTTGCCAAGGGACTCCTTATCTTTAACTGAACTTCACCATGAATCTATCACTTATACATCCTCTTACACTTTGAACTGGAAACTTAGTTTTTAAGTTACTGGAGGCCATGTAAATAGTAAGCTTGGAGACTACACCTGCCTGACTCTATGATAATTTGTTGAATAACTCACTCTATGAGCTTCCAGAATCCTAAAGAAAAAGTTCCTTGTGTTTAGCTATTCTCTAAGTTTGGACTCCCTAACCAGCTTTTTACAGATTTCACGATGTAGTACAAATCTTTTCCTCTTGCCTATCAAGCAGCATTATTCATTGATTCCTTTTAGGCTTACACTTTAATTGTGCACCAGAGTCTTATTAAAATCCATCTAGAAGATTAAAATGATAGCATGATACACTTTTTCACTAGATCTGCTCCTATCCCATTCTACCAAGTAATGACAAGTCTCAAATAGGTCTTTTCCTTTTGCCCCCCCTTCCTGGCCCATGGTTTTTCCATCATTTTAACTTTATTACCCACTTTACCAATACAAAGTTTAGAATCCTCATTTGTCTTCATCTTAATGTATGATATCTGACAAGTTTAGAATAAATAAGACGTTATGGCTGTGCACCAGGTATCCCTAAACTTGTTTTCCCTCTGTTTTTGTTATTCCTCTCTGTAAATTCTAGGCAATGACACAAGTTAAGCAAACATGCACTGGAGCTTCACTATTTTTCATAACTCTGTCAATAAAGTAATGTTTCATTTAGCATTTTATACCAAAGGAGAAGAATAGATAACCACCTGAAAAAAAAAAAACAGGGGAAAGTACAAGGGATTGTCAGACACTTAAGGAGAGATCAAGATGGTTGGTTCAGCTAAAACAGTTTACATCTAAGGCCATCATATTAACTTCATAGCTTCTTATCACAACATATCATAGAGAAAAAGAGCAAATATGAATGTTATCAGGGATTTTGTTTCCCATTTCTTATCATAGGGCTTTGCCTTTGGCGCAGAAGAACTGATTGGTTGGGAATAAACAAAAGCAAGAGAGCCATCTGCTCTTTTCTCATTTTAACTTGGAAACAGGTTCTGTCATTTCACAAAAGTTCCCCAAATATGGCCCTAACGTATCTGAAATCCATTTATTGCAACTAACAATAAGAGAAGCTCTCAATCCTTTAGGATCGCTTTATGATGCATCTATTTATAGACAAAAGTGGACAGATGCTTTTTCTCTGTGCATGAAGTTATATATTTGCAGAAAACACATTTCTATCCATGTCAACTTTCCTCTCTTCAGAATTTTGTTGTCTACCATATCACAATTAACTACTGGTAAAGTAATTGGGGAAACTTAATTGAACACATTCAAGTCTCTTCAAGCAGAACCTAGAAGAGATTTCAAAATTACATTCAGATAAAATGTTTATCTTTAAAAAAAAAACTCCTATTTAAATAGATTTTGAAGAAGAGCAGTATTTTTATTCAAAAGCGGAGTCAAGATAATCATCATTAATATTGTTTGGGGTATAAATCATTCTAACATAGTTGAAGTTGGGAAAGTGCCTTTTGAAGATTCTTACAGATCCTTTCTAATTATTTTCTCCTACTTTTGCAGTGAGTGAAGGGCATTTTTAATAAGCACAAAATGGGAAAAATTAAAAGCTAGCCTGGTTATTAATAGCAGGGCAGGTGGCATTGATTAAAAGACAACAGTAAAATATGATAATCTTCTGGAAATAATTTCATAATTACGTGCTATGGATTAATCCAGTCTGAAAACCTCCATAGAAAAGTAATGCAAATTTTGCTGAGCTTTGTAATTATAAAGTATTTAAGATGAAAAATAGCAGCCTAATCATATTATGCTATACACTGGAATACAGGCTTACACAGTCTTGCATAAGAATTTAAAGTAAATAGGCCGTTGGCATGTGTGATCTTGCAAGAAAAGAGCTTAGGAGAGGTAAAGAGGTGAACTATTTGACCTTGAGTTATATTTTTTTCAACACTTAACTCTATAATGAATGTTCAAATCCTGATCAAGAATATCTTTAATGAGAATTCAGATTAAAATAAATATTTAATTACTAATGATCTTTCTTCTAGTACAATGCAGTTACCAGGATCATCTTTATATCTGCATGCAAGTCACAAATTAGACAAGTTTGGACAATTAGTTCATATTACCATTAATTATTTTCACTATTATAATAAATTTCCCTTTCATAAGAATGAAACAGTCTTTTGGTATAATATAATAAATCTCACTGATGTATCAGAATTCATTAGGTGGAGATATTGTCAAATTTTCAGATAATGTCACCTTTATTTTTGTATGACTGAATAGCAGGGATAACAAATTTTTCCCTATTTTACTCATGTTTTAGAAATACAAAGGAAATTTGCATAATTGCATGCATTTAGAACAGTGAATTTTCAGTTACCTTGTGATGTTCACTCAGACCCAATATCAAGAAATAATACACTACCCACAACTCAGAAATCTTCTCCATTCCATACCCACTTTTGTTATAAAACATCACCAAAGATAAATGCTTCTATTTTGATTTCTAACATTATAGGTAAGTTTTTGCTTGCTTTTCACCTATGTGTATGTGAAAATATGGGAGTTTGTGTTCTGAGTTAAGATTGTTTTTTATAGTTGTAATTCAGTCTCATGGAGGTGAATGTACCATTGGCTTGGCAGAACTGTAAATAATTCTACTATGAGTGTTCTTGTACATATTTTGTATTTAAACTATACATACAATCATATATATATATACATATGCATTTGTTCTTGATACATAGATTTCATTGTGGAACTGCTGATCATAGGATGTGACTACATTAAATTTAGGAGATGCTGCAAAATGGATTTTCAAAATTTACACTCCTATTGGCGCAGTATGGCTTCTATTTTTCCATATCTCACCAAAATTTTCTATGTCTTTTTCACTTTACTCTTTTTTTTGTTGTGAGTAAACTTTCATCAAACATAAATACTTTTTTTACCAGCAATCTTAATTTATATTTTTCTAATGAATAATAAAGTTCAGCCCCTGTCATTGACATTTTGATGTATTTCCAAGTCCTTTTCTACATAGGGCACACACATTTATGTTGTATTCATAGCTTTCTATGTACCTAAAACTACAATGGTAATTCCTCATATTTCTAAACATTCTTCAGGAATATGAAGTTAGGTTATAATTCTGACCCATCTTATCAAAGGATGCTTAAGTGATTCTTCACACATGTTCAGTTATTACCTTCCATGACCCTCATCAGACACCATGCCAGTGGATCTTCCAGGTCTTGAACTTACCCCTAAAAGACTATAAATAAAACTCTTTTCTTTCACAATGTAGTGAGTCAGAGAGATTTCATTACATTAATGAATAGTTAACTAACACACAACTCTTGTAAATAAAAGAGGCTCAATAAATATTTTCCCAAAGTCAAACATGCAATAACTATTCCACAAATAAACACTGCTCTGAAATATGCTCTACTTACAATATTGACTCTGTAATATTCAAGACTATACAGATGCTGTGAGCACTACTGTCATGTCTAGTCCTTCCAAAACAATTGAATAATGAATATAAACTTACTCCATAAGCATATTCATAAAATGTTATAAAACAGATTTTAATAAGAATACTATTTATTCAGAATTTAGCTGTAAATTGTAGATACCACCAAAACAAAATAGTCTGTTACTGACATACTCACCCCTACAGAATTTAATTAGTAAATTGGGAGCCAGAGGCATCTTATACTTTTCCCACATGGATGCAGAATTCATGGGAACTGGGCCATCCTCTGTTGCCATTCCAGGTCATTCAAAGAGAGCTGGATCAGAAGCAGAGCAGCCAAGGCATGACCGACAATCACTTGGGATACCAATGCCACAGGCAGATCAGGCTGCTATGCCACAATGCCAGGCTCAAGGATGTGTTTTAGTCACTTATCATAGCTGCAGCTAGTTCAGTAACAAGTTATTGAAACCATTTATGTTCTTTTACATCAGAATAAAAGAAAAAAATATTTTTCTTGGAAAAATTTTCAATTAGCAATAATTTTGCCTCGTATAAATCTCACTGGTTGCAATACTGCCACTGCACAAAGCTTAAAGAGCTTTTTCTGGTTGAAAAAAAATGGGGAGAAGAATTAAGATGGTGGAATAGGGTGGAATAAAGACACATTTACACAGACAGAACAACATTTAATCAGAATGAAGCAGAGAGGACATATTTCAGGAAATAGGAAAGGACAGAACAACAGCAGAGGTGTACCTGGAGACTGACAGACACAGGAAAGCAGCAAAAACAATGGTGTGGTGTTGCAGTGACTGATACTCCAGCGGTAGTCAGCTAATGGACTATCTGAACTTCACCAGCAACCAGGTGGGAAGGGACTTTCACTGGGAACTTGGGAGGTGATCCCAGACAAAGAACTGTCTGTCCTGCTGGTCCATTTGATTACACTAGGAGCAGAGACAGAGCAACAGATCCCAGACAGACAGTGTGAGAACATGGTGGATTTCACAGCCCAGTCAGCCACCTAGAACAAAACTGGGCGTAATTTTGCATAAGGAGCAAAAGCAAGAAAAGGACTGAGCATATTCTGAACTGGGAGTGAACTCATTTCTGACTCAGTGAACTGCAGCAACATGGCATACTACAGGTTTCACCCTAGAAAGGTCTGGGTAGCCCTCAGACCTGATGGCCAGCAGATCCATAACTGTACTGGTGGTGCGTTGGGCATCATTTTGCACACTCTGGCAATAGCTTTAGGACTGCAGGGGACAACAGTGAACTGCACATGTGCTGAGCTCACGAGAACTCACTGAATTCCGTGGATTGCACTGGTCCCACAGGAAAATAATACCGACTTGCCATTGTACGGCTCAAAATAGGTCCCTGTGGCACCCAGACCTAATGTCCAACAGGTTCCGACAAGATCAGCGCCACCAACAACCTAATTACATAGGACACCTGGTGGTCTCTCTAATCCTGGGGCTTGCTCCAACCGAAAGTGGGAGAAAGGTTGCAGAGACAATGGTGCAGCCTCAGCACTGGGCCTGTGGAGGCCACGGTGGAAATCTAAGAACCCAGACCTGGAACTCCCTGGAGGTGGTGGCACAATTGGCTGCAAGCAAAAAGTTGTGTACCAACTGCAATAAGTAAAACTGCATTGTAGACCTGTGGATGACACAGCTTAGAAACCTGCCTCAAGGAGAAGACTGCTAATCAGAAGTACAATGATCAAGAGCAAAAGAAGAGACAAAGGCACAATGAATATTACCAAAAACTCCCCTGAAAAGGAACAAAACCCTTTGCCAACCTCAGAGTTCACTGAGGAAGACATTGAGAACATGGGGGACACAGAATTCAGAAAACTCATTTTAAAACTTCTGATCAAAAATCAGAAACACAAACAAGAGTTCAAAGAATTTAAGGAAGCAATAAAGCAAATCAAGGCTGATGTAACAGAAATTAAGAACACAGTGGAACAAATGAAAAGTACAGTGGAGAGTCTCCAAAATAGAATGAATGAAGCAGGAAAAAGAATCTCAGAATTTGAAAACATTTCCTGTCACCAGGGGGAAGCAAACAAAAAGTTGGAAGCAGAGTTGGATCAGGCCAAAAAAAGTATTCAAGAATTGAAAGACACTATTAAGAGGCCAAATATCAGAGTTATGGCAGTCCCAGAACGTGCAGAAAGAGAAGCTGAGTTTGCAAAGGTATTTAATGAAATAATCAAGGAAAATTTCCCTAATCTAGAGAAAGAATTGGGAAACAAGATCCAGGAGGGTCACAGAACTCCTAACAGGCTTGATCAAAAGAGATCTTCAACAAGACACATGATCATCAAGCTCTCTTCAATTGAACATAAGGAAAAGATCCTTAAATGTGCACATGAAAAAATATCAATTGGCATATAAAGGAATGCCAATTAAACTCACAGGAGATCTCTCCCAGGAAACTCTACAGGCAAGAAGAGAATGGAGTGACATATCCCAGATTCTAAAAGAAAAAAATTGTCGGCCTAGGATAACACATCCAGCAAAGCTTTTTTTCGTCTTTGAAAATGAACTAAAAGTCTTCCACAGTAAAGGAAAGTTAAAAGAATTTGCCTCTTTCAAACATGCCCTACAAATGATACTTCAAGATGTTCTCTTGACAGAGAAGAGGAATAGCACCTACCAAAACCAAAGGCAAACGGGAAGAACATCCCAGTAAAATGACAACAGGAGACTAAACCAATGAACAAACCATTCCTAAAATGACAGGACCAAAGTACCACCCATACATATTAAAGTCTGAATGTAAATGGCTTAAGCTCAGTCAAACGTCATAGACTAGTAGACTGGATTGAAAAACAAAACCCATCTGCTTATTTTCTGGAGGAGACACACTTTACCAACAAAGATCAGCGGAAACTATATCACTTGGGCTTTGTTGTTTTCTGTTTGTTTCATCTCTTCAAAATACTTTCTTCTGGTTAAATCATTCAATGACTCATAGATCATGCAGTCGCATCATTTTCTTCAAGAAGGTTCTTGATTTTCATTTCTTCAGCTACACATTAGTCATTTAGTAGCATGTTATTTAACTTCTTGATGTTCTTAATATCTTTTTTCTCCCTGATGCTGATTTTGTTTTGTGGCTCTTCATTTAATGGGGTGTATAGTAGCTCTGTAATGGAGACTGTCATATCTAGTAACATGTCATTTAACTTCATGGCATTGCAAATTTCTATTTTTCTTTCTATTGTTGATTTTGTATCATGACTTTTCATTTAAGGGGATGTACAGTAGCTGTGAAATGGAGACTAACATCCAGATGTGAGGATGCAGTGTGGTATGTATTTCTGTTTCCAGACAAAGATGGACTTACAATGAAACTGTTCACTGTATCTTGACAATAGGATTCTGGACACTCTGCCATTGTCCATGCCCGTAATGATGGACATATGACTGTGTATGAAGAACTATATGTTAGTAATGATATAGAGGAACCAGGTGGGGGGAGGGAATTGGGGAGGTGATAAGGGAATATGGAACTGTATCATAAAATGATAATAATGAAATGTAAAAAAAAAAAAAATGGGAAAGGGTTCAGCCTGATGGCTCAGTGGGCTAAATCCTCCCCTTACGTATGCTGGGATCCCAAATGGACACCAGTTCATATTCCAGCTGCTCCATGTCCTTTCCAGCTTCCTGCTGGTGGCCTGGGAAAGCAGTAGAGGATGCCCCAAAGCCCTGGGCTCCAAAACTAGCATGAGAGACACAGGAAGAAACTCTTGTCTACTAGCTTCAGACCAAGTCGTCTTCAGTCATTGCAGCCACTGGAGGAGTGAACAAGTAGATGAATGATCTTTCTCTCTGTCCCTCCTTTCTGTAGATCTGCCTTTCCAATAAAATAAATCTTTTTTTAAAAAGCATATAAATAGTTCAATTTCTTTCCATGTATAATACAGGTTAGACTTAAAACTATGAGCATTCAAGAAACTAAGATGATCTATTTCAAGACTTTAGCTTAATGAGAACAAATTTGAATTCAGCGCATATTTCAAAGTCTCAGTGATTTGATTTTGTGGTTCACAACTTTATACCTGTGCCAAGCCCATTCACAAACAACCCACATTTCCCAGATAGTGATTATGTCTGTCTTTCCCTTTCTGCTTTCATATGTAGATTTTTATGTAGTTCTGGCATTCATATCACCTACATATCCCATACATGCAACTAGTCCACTTGATGCTGAGTTGCTGGGACTGCTTAGGTTCACGCAGTGCCAATTCCAGAACTATTGATGTAAGCTATATATCGCAATTCACCAAGAAGTCACTAGAAAAAATGAGACCCCAGAATAAAATCTCAAATGCATGCATTTCTTAATCTGTAGTGATGATCACATTTGCTATCTTCCTTATTCCAATCCTCCAAAAACCTTCTAATACAATTAGTTGTGAATTATTATAATGACAGAGGACAGAAAAGGATATAGTCAGCTTTTCTGAAAATATGATTCATAACTTCCTTCATCAGAGCACTTGCCCTCAAAGTGAAAATCCCTGCAGACTAAGAAAGAAAGTCTAGATTCCTGCCAATTTCTCTGTGATTTTTAAGCATGGTAAGTTGGAACATCTTTGCTATAACACATAACACTGATCAGAATTCACTCCATGAAGCTAGGTGTCAGACCGTACTTGATGCGTTACTGTAATAGCAGGGAGCATTATGGACACAGGTCAGAAAAATTTCTTAACATTCTTTAAAGTCTACCTCTTCTCTGCCATCATTGTTTGCTCAGCTGCTCCCAGAGTGCCTCTATTATCTGTTAACATCCTGGTAACAGTAACAATGACTTCCAGTAACAAATCACAGTTGCCAGTGAAAATGATATTGAATAAACAAGGTTCCAATGAATATGTGACTTTAAATCCTAGATGGAGCCCTTAATGTTCAGTTAGATAATTTCTGTCTCAAGTCCTAAGTCTTTTTTATGTGATTGCTTAAACATATGAACCTTATTTTCCACACCAGAAATGAAAGTATTCCACAGCAATTCCTTTGCAAATGGGAGAACTCAATGAGCACCTCAATGAGGACTTGACAAGTCTTACTCAATGAATTCTCACAAAAATAAATGTGAGGTGTAGGATATATAGTCAGAATGATCATGAATACATAGGGAAACTACAATAAGTTCCAGCATTATGACATGTTATCAAAGTATGCAGCATAAGTCCCATAGACTAAACTGTAGTGTTCTCATCTATGGAGTATCGTAAAAGCAACTGACTCAGAAGATAGCCATGAACTCCAAACAAGACAGTCCGTGTAAATTCCCTTGTACAGAGCAGTCCATGCAGCAGAAGCAGTCAACAGATGCTGACTCTGCTTATGTTCATCGAGTAAACCATTCTGTGATGATTGCATGATGTCATCATTATCTCAATAGATATTCGTGATAACTCTATCAAACCAATCATTGGAATTGTCCATCAGCACACAACTAATCAATGACAGTCAAGAGAGTAAGCCTTCTGATTCCGTAGTGTTTGTGTCTGCTTCCCTGCTCCTTTGTTTTCTATAGCAGAAAGTTTGCTCAAATTATGT